ACTTTATAAGTTCATGCTAAATGGTCAATAGAAAAACTTTTTTACACGTTTTTATTCAAACATAAAAATTTGAAGTTACGTAATTACCGATCTTAGCAAAATTTTAATATAATAATAAATATCACGTGATATGGTGAAATTCACCTTCCGGAGTCCTCCGGTGAATTTAACCTCCGGTGAGCGTTAAAATGATCCTTTTTTTTTAATAATAGATTTAGTATGTATTTTACAAATAAAATTTTTATATGCAAAATTTAATTTGGAAAACTTTTACTTAATGTATTTAAGACAGTTTCATAAACAAAATTTTAAGTTATAAACAGTTTTTTGAAATTTTTTAAAAAATTTTTTTGTCTTGGTTACATAAGGTGACACAAAGTGGTAAAAATGGTTTTCATAATATAAAAATTTCATCAATAACCCGGAAACCCAGCTTTTTATATGTGAAAATTTTTTTCAATTTTTAAAAAATTCTCACCCGGCATAGTAATAATATAAAAATTTTATTTTTGACTTAACAAAAACTGACCCGGCCGGGATATGAAAACCATTTTTATCACTTTATGTCGCCTAACTGATCTGTATATACAAAATTTTATTATAAAATTCTTTTAATTTCTTATTAAAGAAAAATCTTTATAAATAAAATTTACTAACATATTTTTTATTATAAAAATTTACTAATAAAAAAAATATTTTACCAATAAAATTTTTTTATAGAAAAAAAAAATCTTACATTAAAAAAAAAAATTTCAATAAAATTCTTTACCAAAAAATTTTTTAATAAAAATTTATATAAAAAAAATAGGGTATTGCTAAATATCATCAGTGGTGATCGTCATCACATGTAAAATATTTTTTGAATTTTCAAAAATTTTTAACTGAGATATTATTCTAATTATAATATAAATATCATTATTATATGTAAATTTATGGGTAGAATAAGTTTGCCTTAGATTATAAAGGCTGTTGTTTAGATAGTTTTTGAGAAAAATAGGAAAGTTTGATTTTATAAGCAAAATACAATTTTTTGTTTTAAAAAAGATTTTTTTTAGTTAAATTTTCAAAATTTTAGTGTAATTAGTATCTACTTAGGTTTATTTTACACATTTATTATTTAAATTGAAATTTTTGAAAAAAAATTTACGATGTGTTTTTTAACTCTGGCTAAAATTATAATTTTCGGCCAGAATTAAGTGATGTAGTGATGATCACCACTGGTGATATTTAGCAATACCCAAAAAAATAAATACTTTGCCTATTTTAACAAACTATTATATTTTAAAAAAATCAAAAAATACTATATAAATATTAAAATTAAAAATTGAATAACAAAAAATAAAATTAAAAAGTCTAAAATTAAAGATCAAAAATAAAATTAAAATACTATAATAAAATATATAAAAGATTATATATGCAAAATTTATTATAACATTTTATTTTATACTTCAAATTCTTTTAAAGAAAAAAATCTTTATAAAATAAAATTTACCAATACATTTTTTATTATAAAATTTTACTAATAAAAAAAATATTTTACCAATAAAAAAACTTCCAAATATAAATTCCATTAAAATTTTTAATAAAATTTTTCTAACAAAATTCTTTACCAATAAATCCTCTAATAAAAGTACTATATAAAAGAAATAAATACTTTGTTTATTTCAGTAAACTAACTGCAAGAAAATCAAAAAATATTATAGAAATATTAAAATTAAAAATTAAATAAAAAAAATAATTTAAAAAATTTAAAATTAAAGATTAAAAATAAAATTAATAAAATATATAAAGGTTATTATACAGTCAACTTTCTGTAAATATACCTTCTATAAATGTACACCCTCTATAAATGTACCTTTTATCTAATCTCAAATATGCAAAATTTTATTATAATATTTTATTTTGAAAATTTTAAAGTATACACGGGGTGTTTGAACAGGACCCCGAATATTACTAAAACAACTCAGATCCTATATAACTAAAATTTCAAAATGTGATATCTCAGTCAATATTACACCTAAAAAGATGAATTATATATCAAAATGTTCGTCTCGTTGAAACGAATCTAACAAGCCAAAGATCATTAATATCCAATCACTGGATCCCGAGATAGCAAATTTTGAGTCTAAAATTTACATATAACTTTATACATTTGGAACAGAAATTAATTATAAGGTTTATACAAATTCAGATCTGAGTTTTTTTAGTAATATTCGGGGTTCTATGAACACAGGTCATGTGAAATATAATGACACTAATGTTACACCCTTTTACTTTTTCTATGCAATATATGTATTTTTGACTGCTCTATAAGTTTACTTAAGGCATCAAAAGGGGGTTTTGAATGTTGTTTTGACTTATATATGAAAAATTGTCTTTGTCGATCATTTCCTAAATTTTTTAAGAGTGATCGGCAAAATCAATTATTTATAGGTAAAGTCAAAACTGATATTTAAAAGCACCTTTGATTCCTTAGGTAAACTTGTAAAGCAGGCAAAAATCCATTTATCTACTAATTTTGAAGTTTATACTATTAGTCAAAATGGTAATAATCACATAACCCAGATTCAAACATCCTGTGTACAAATAGAAATTGCCTTTTATTTTATAGTCTTAAATTCTTTAAATTTTTATTAAAGAAAAAAATCTTTATAAAATAAAATTCACCAATATTGCAATACATTTTTTATTATAAAAATTTACTAATAAAAAAAAAATTATACCAATAAAATTAAAATTTCCAATAAAATTTTTTATAAAAAAAAAATTAAAAAAAAAATTTTTTAACAAAATTCTTTATCAAAAAAATTTCTAATGAAAATTTTTATATAAAAAAATAAATACTTTACTTATCTTAGCAAACTGTTTATACTTTAAGAAAATTAAAAATACTATATAAATATTAATAAATAAAAAAAATAAAATTAAAAAATCTAAAATTAAAGATTAAAAATAAAATTAAAATACTATAGTAAAATATATAAAAGATTATATTATATATGCAAAATTTTATTATAACATTATATTTTATAATTTTAAATTCTTTTAATTAAAAATCTTTATAAAGTAAAATTCACCAACACATTTTTTATTATAAAACTTTACTAATAAAAAAAATATATAAATTTTCTGTTAAAAACTTTCAAAACTCTTTAGATAAAAAAAATCCCATTAAAACTTCTAATAAAATTTTTTATAAAAAAAAAAATCTTTTATTAAAAAAAAATTTTCCAACAAAATTCTTTACCCATTTTAGTAAACTGTTTGCACTTTAGCATTAAATACTTTGCCTATTGGCAAACTGTTTGCACTTTAGCATTAAATGCTTTGTCCACCTTAGCAAACTGTTCGCACTTTAACATTAAATGCTTTACCTTTTGGCAAACTGTTTGCACTTATAGCGTTAAATGCTTTGCCCATCTTAGCTAGCTGTTTGCACTTTAACATTAAATGATTTGCCTATTGGCAAACTGTTTGCACTTTAACGTTAAATTCTTTACTCACCTTAGCAAACTGTTCGTATTTTAACATTAAATGATTTGCCTATTGGCAAACTGTTTGCACTTTAGTGTTAAATGCTTTCCCCACCTTAGCAAACTGTTTACACTTTATAGTGTTAAATGCTTTGCCTATCTTAGTAAAATGTTTGCACTTTAACATTAAATGCTTTGCCTATTGGCAAACTGTTTGCACTTTAACGTTAAATGCTTTACTCACCTTAGTAAACTGTTTGCACTTTAACATTAAATGCTTTGCCTATTAGCAACCTGTTTGCACTTTAACATTAAATTTTTTTCCACCTTAGTAAACTGTTCACACTTTAACATTAAATGCTTTGCCTATTGGCAAACTTTGTGTAACATAATTTTAAAGTTAAACTGTTTGACAATATTGGCAAAGAATTTGACTGTAAGGTCAAATAGTTTGACGATAACAGCAAATCATTTGAACTTCGCAGTTAATCTTGACCGTCAAACAGTTTAACTCTCAATGTTAAACTTCTGTCCAGCCTGGCATTCCATACAGAACATTTTTAGAAAACGAAGCAGAAAAATTGAAATATTTAATTGCCACGCTACACTGATGATATTAAATTACTTAATTAGGATAGGCGTTGTAGATTGTTCTAATGATTATGGCTACTGAATTAAGTAATTGAATAAACTTATTTTTCGCGTGACTATTTTTTTGTTCCTTATCAAATGTTTTATCTAACTTCACTATATAACCTGTATAGCATGTAAATGCTGAGATGTTAATGACAAAAACCGAATAATAATAGTTTTGTAATATGTAATACATAATATTCACTGTCTTCAAGAAAGAACAAGCGAGGAATAATGGTTGAAAATAGTAACCCACCAGAAGTAAGCACAGATACAAACAGCAATAGACTTCGAGCGGTACAACATTTTACTATCGTGACATCAAACGCAAATGAACATTCTTTTGAACTGAGAGCAGTAAATGAAAAACACCAGATACGCAAAACTTACTTTAATTATTTCCACATACAGCTCATGTGTTTGCGGAGCTCCGATATCATGTTCTTCATAAACTGTCATCAAGAGTTTTTTAACGTACAGTAATTGTATTAAATTCTAGTCTGTTAGTCTTCCATATGAGAATTGGCCTAAGTTATAATATTTAGTTTTCTGTTATTATTGGTATAACTGCTTACTTGATATTTGTCCACTACAAACGACTGTATGATAAATTACTGCAAAAAATTCTTCATTATTTTGGGAGTACGCTTACCCTCGAAGAGGTGAATAAAGTGGGTTATATTGAAGAAATTATGAAGGAATACAAAAAGAAAACAGAGATGAGCGAAATTCTCATCAAGCTTATTATGCAATTTATTTTTACAAAATTGAAGAAATTATGTTAATTACGCTTTATTTCTAGTAATTGTCTAACTATAGTTTTAAGTAGATACAAAAAATATATATACTGTATATTTGATACAAAAAAAAATATACAAATTCGTTCAGTTACATGATATAGACAACATAAGTAAAAAACATTTATTTTTCTTCAAATATCCATCCCAATTGATTAGTACCAGCAATAATAAATCCATTATTTCCAATATTTGCAAACTGATTGCTATGTTGAACAAGTTGAATGGCATGCTCGCTAGCTTTAGAAGGAACAAATATCCATTCCTGATTTAGCTGAAAAATATTTCCTTCAAGAGTAAGAAGATTTCCATTACCCTTGTATGTGACATAGAGGTCAGGATTATTACTGGGACTAATAGTAAAGCCACCAGGAGCAGTAGTTAATATCCACTTTGCACCTGCGACTTGTAGACCAATATGATTAGTTTTATCTGCTGCCCAATATAGTTTGGATTTAGGGTCTCGAATAGTATAAGTCTTCTGTTGCTGAGACGACCCAACAGCAAGAAGGGTGGCTAAAAGGAGCAAAAAAAGGTTGAATTTCATTTTGATTTTGTTTTGCAGAGTTGTTTTCAAACAGTGCAGAGTCAAGAAGTATTTATACATATAAAATCAGTACAAAAGCGATGCTAGAAAAACAATTCCCTTGGATTAT